TTAGTAAGAAACCGTGTGAAAATACAAAACGTGATCTGATTTTGTAAAAAACAATACTATTAAAAAATTACACGTGAAGAGTGAAAAACAGGTATATTTATTTCATAACTGCAAATGCCACAATATGGACATATATGACTGTAGTATTTTTCTTGAATATGCATTCATAATCAGAAATTTACATTTCAATTTGTGTGATTTTCGTAAAGTATCAGGATGACCAATGTCCACGAATCAAATCAAGTTTAATGTTTTGCAGAGAAAAGGGATATACATGTATTTCTATTTTTAAGTAAAGGAATCCAACTTGGCAAACCAATTTCTTACCGACGAATGAAGCAGTGAACAATGAAACAACTGGAAATGCACCAAAATATGTTCACATATAGTTAACTCTTTTAAGGCATACTTTTCATTTTTATGACATTTTGATAAATGTCTTCGCTAGATGCCTGTAAAGCGGCCTTCAGAATGCAAACTAAAGTTTGACAACACATGTTGTTGAAATTTTCACAAGTTGTCAAACTCGCGTTTTCACACCTCAAACACATGTTGTCAAACTTTCGTGCCACTTGAGCGCCACGTCACATCACGTGACAATTTCTTTGACTGCGATTGGTTGTTTCTGAACAACAAGAGTTTGACAACACTTCACACGTCAGACTCGAGTTTGACAACACCGAATGTTTGATGGAAAAGTCGGTGAGAATAGAGACTGATCTTATTTCTCGACAACAGTTTGACAACTCTGAAATTGGTGTTGGTGGCGAGTTGTTGGAATGTTCACACTCTCAAACTCGTCTTTGACAACATGTGTTTAGTTTGCCGCGTGAATGCCGCCTAAGAATCACATAAATCTCAGATGGACCGATGAACTGAAGTTGATGAAATGTTGTGGTAAGCATCAGAAGCTACCGAATATAAACCTCCTGTCGGCTACAAACAGTGAAACAAGCAGCAGGGTCAGTTGGACCGTTCTTAGTTGCATGCTGTCAGTGACGAGTGTTAAAGAGAATGATTGATTCAGGACGAAAATCGATTTCTGAGACAGACATTTAAGGAGATTTTCCCGGTCTACTAAAGCTGTGAATTGTATTTCTTCTTACGACTCGCCATTTTAATTCTCAAATACTGACTTAAGTTGCCTGACTGGCAGACTCAACAATTCTTGAGATTTCAAATGTTTCTTTCTAAAAAGATGATTTTGTTCGGAAATTTAAGTAAGACCTCTGACTTGATCAAAACTCAGATATCAGTTTGTTTCGGGAAAATAGGGCCAGCTCCTCTAATGAAATAACGAACCATTTAATCGAATTGTGTCAAGTCTGTAAAATGTTTACTGATTTACATGGGAGTCACTACTGGATTGAGTCCATTGAGTACAGATCGATATCTTGCACCTGGAATATTGCTAAGTGTTATAGATAAATAAATAAATAAACAAACAAACAAACAAACAAACAAACAAACAAACAAACAAACAAACAAACAAACAAACAAACAAACAAACAAACAAACAAACAAACAAACAAACAAAAAAAAATAAAAAAAATTAAAAAATAAATAAATAAATAAATAAATAAATAAATAGCTTTTCAGTTTTCTCAGACCGTCGGACATCTGAAATGGCGACCTAATGTACATGTACATTTCCCCAGGCAGATTGTGCTGGGACGTCAGGGGACCGCCTTCCACGACTCAACCCCTCCAGGCGAACAAGCGGGTAAACATGGTTCACAAATCCAGGTCGTTGCCTAGTGCACTTCTACAACATTACGGCAGTCACGATGCAGGGACTGCCCTCATTCGCTCACCGGATTTAATGAGCCTTAATAATGTATGAGGGATAAAAACACATCACACAGGACTAGCTTTCCGTGAAGATACGGTTAACACTGGTCTTCAGCAACTCATGCTTGTCGACTAACGGGATCGGGTGGTCAGGCTCACTGACTTGGTTGACATAAGACATAGTATCCAAGTTGCGTACATCGGTGCGACGTTAAACAACAACAAAAACAACAACGAACCCCCAACCCCAACAACAACAGCAACAACAACAGCAACACCAAATAAACAACAACAAACAAACAAATAATAAAGATCAACACCACATGAGAAGCAGGTCACGATCATGAAGTGGTTTGGGGTACAAGTCGACACACTAATTCATCTACACTGCAGACTTCACCTTCGGTATGTATGTAACGTTACCTAGTTAACGTGGGAATACACTTTACGCTAAAGTAGGAAACGTTAAGGCAAGCAAATATTAAACAGCAAAAATCAATACTAATCAATCAGTATTATACACAGACAATATACACAAATAGGTCTGGTGAATTTCCATATGCCAAAATACATCTATCGAGTTTCTATGGTTTCTATGACAGACAAAGACGGTAGTGCTCGTTTCCGGAACTGATCTTCATAACCGTATATATACCTTCACAAAGCTTGGCACATGGATAGGTCTAGTGGTGAACAAGCCTTTTGCTAGTGTGGAATTGTTCTTTTTAATAATAGAGTTTCCATGGCAACATCAGTGACTAAGATTGAAAAAGGCAGTTAATCTTGTTTCCGGAGCAGATTCCTATTGTACAGATCGATGCTCATGATGTCACTGATTAGAATGTCAGTCAACGTGTCCATTACTCTTGTCAGTATGGTTTTACGCATCTTTCAGCTGCTGAACCATAATACCGTCACAGTGAGTGAGTGATTGAGTTGGCTTTTACGTCGCTTTTAGCAATATTCCAACAATATCACGGCGGGGATACCAGAAATGGGCTTCACACATTGTACCTATGTAGGAAATCGAACCCAGGTCTTTGGCATGACGAGCGGACGCTTTAACCACTAGGCTACCGCGCCGCATTTATTGACAGAACGCCGTAATACAGCTGGAATGTCATCCTGACTGGGGTGGTGGGGAAGCCTAGTGGTTAAAGTGTTTGCTCGTCACGCCGAAGACCTGAGTTCGATTCTTTACATAGGTACAATGTATGAAGCCCATTTCTGGCGTCACCTCACCGTGATAATTCTGGAATATTGCTAAAAGTGGCACAAAATCCTACTCACTCACTCATCCTGATTGCTACGTTAAACTGTATACAGATATACAGATTGGATAAAATCACACTGTGCACTATTTCCTCACCAAACTTCCTCATACATATGTCTCGCTTCAACCAGTGTATTTTGACTGTTTGTAATATATAAAAAAAACATTCTTCTAGTTACCATAGCAACACTTTGACTGACTGAAAATGAAGGTGCGGTGTTCAGATCTTCCAAACCATTCAATATTCCTTCACACGATTTTGCAAATATATTTGACCAATGGTGCCTTTTCATAGTTGTGGATTCCAGTAATAGCACGGCGTTGGCCACAATAAATGGGTTCACACTTTACACCCGGGTTTTATGGGTGACGACGGAACGCCCCTTCCGCCCCTCAAAAGATACAGATGTTACTTGTTGTTACCCAGGCTTGTGTACGGCATTAAGAGGTAAAGTCAAGGGCTGTACAAATCGGAGTCAGTACACGGAATCTGAGAGAGGTTTCCAGATGACGATGATGATGTTGATTTGGAGATTTTACGCGCGCTTTCATATCCACACACATCTCTGCGTTATGCCATGTCCGAAGGCTTTCCTTAATAAATCAACAAGCAACCGCCACATTACGATTCCGCACATCGGAATTGCTATTGCTATTGATCTGTTCCAGGTTTGACGCGTATGTACAAGTAGAGAAGCATATGGTGCAGTATAGTCATCCTTCATTTTAGAAACTATCCTGAAACGTGAAATGTGCTTAGTTATCCTTTGTTTGGAATGATTGTCCGGCTGCAAATGCAGTAATCGATGTCCAACGGAGCAAATGCGATGCATAAATATGGTGAGGTGAGGTGAGGTGAGGTGAGGTGAAGTGAGGTGGGATTTGGTTTAACGTCGTGCTTGAGAATATTTCGCTCATATGACGACGTGCATGCGTGTGTATGTGTGTGTGCGCCTGCTTGTACTAGCCCAGACTGAAACTGGTTTTATAGTGCTAGCCCACTGAGATACCATGCCACAGTGAAGCATGAATACCCCATTCAGACACATTATACTGACTCCGAGCCGACCAGTCCTTGTTGTACCCATTAATGCCGAGCGCCAGGCAGGGACCAACAAGTACCATATTTTAACGTCTTTTTGGTATGACGCGGTCGGGGATCGAACCCGCGACCTTCCGCTCTCCGGGCGGACGCTCTAACCACTACACCACGGAGGCGGTGCATAAATATGGACTGTAATGTCCCTCACGGTCAGTTTGTTTGTTTGTTGGTTAACTCAGCAATGTTCCAGCTAAATGCGGCGGTCTGTAAATAATGGAGTCTCAACAGTGATCAACAGCATGAGCATCGATCTGCGCAAGTGGGAACCGATGACATGTGTCAACCAAGCCAGCGAGCCTGACCACCCGATCCCGTTAGTCCCGTCTTACGACAAGCATGGTTTGTTGAAGACCAATTCTAATCCGGATCTTCGCGTGTCGGCAGCAAACTGACAAAGCTATGATGTCATCTGTTGGTTAGCCCGACAGATACTGTTACGGAGGCAGATGACCTAGAGATTCTAGGCGACGTCTGTTGCGTCAGATGTTCCTTCCATCTTTTCCAGATTGTCAGCCTTACTTAGTTGTAACAAACGATTTTTCTGCGAATTTTCTCAGCATTTTTTCAATCCAGTTGATATGACTTCGAAACGCACCACGTCATCCCTTGGCACCATCCCTTGGCACCATCCCTTGTAGCAATGACGTCAGTAAAGTCCCATGCATCTTGGAGTAGTTTAGAAAATTACTTGTGATGTCTTTTATTCACAGTGGGTGGACTTGTGGATGATATTTAGTGTTAATAGTAATCTACTTCTATAGTGCCGAGTTCCAGCTTGGATGCTCACAGGCGCTTGTGGAGTCCCAGTCTAGTTCATTTCAAATAGATGTGTCTTTAGATGTTTTTTAAAAGTTTGTTGACTTGGAGCGGAGGTCAGCGACATTGGGAGGTTGTTCCATAGAATGGGAGTTGCCATGTTCGATGGGAGGACATTCTTTTAAATTCGTGCAACATCTAGTTTGCAACATTATTCTAAATGAATTTTCCGAACATTAAGCACTCCACAAATCTTGAAAAACTAAATGTGTTAATTCAGGTATATAACTTAATATCAGGGAACACGTATGACTCCCAGCCTGGTGCTGATGATAAGTCTGTTGCGTTGAAGGGGGTTGTAAATAGTTCACATTCACTGTCGACTCTGTTGAAGCTGAGGCTGAAACACCTGTTGCTGAGGACGCACTCCGTGATGCAGAAGGCCCCGGAGACGTTGGAGTAGGTCCGCAGTACAAACCCCCCAGTATATCTCACCCCTTCAAGTCTCTCGATGTCAGGAGGGCTCGTACAGTTGTCATACTCTGAATGTAGAACGGCACAGAAATGATTAGAAATATTGAAACGTAAGATTGGTTTGAAGGTGGCCACAGAGTGGCTAGCGAATGAATGAATGAACGAACGAACGAATGAACGAATGAGAGAGTCAGTGAGTTAAGTTTTACCCCGCCTTTAGCAATATTCCAGCAATATCACGGCGGGAGACACGAAAAATGGGCTTCACACATTGTACCCCGTAGGGATTTGAACCCGGGCCTTCGACGTGACGAGCGGACGTTTTAACCACTAGGCTACCCCAACGCCCAACGAACGAATGAATGAATAAATGAATGAATGAATGGTATAAGTGACAATTCATTAATGTGTAATAAATCTGAATAAGTAAAAGGTTGATTCATGATGTTTTTGGTTTGTTGTTTAACACCACACTCATCGATATTCCATCTATGGCGGTCTGTAAATAAGTCAGGATATACAATCCAGTGATCAACATCATGAGCACCGACACACGCAACTGGGATACAATGACTTGCGTAAACCAAGTTCACGAGCCTGACCGCGCCTGTTCTTGTCGCCTGTTCAGACAAACCTGGGTTGCTGGAGACAATTCTATGCCGGATCTTCACGGATTTAATACACATACATTTGCACTATGGTTATCTCCCATTTGACAGACACCCATTTGATAGACACCAAATTGGCAGACACTGAACTAGAAGGTTAATTAGGGTAACATCTATGGGTATAATGGAACAATCCGCTGTCTTGTGAGTAGAGCATGGTGAGCCTGAAACAGGTTCGTTACTGACAAGTTTGATTGTGGGTAAATAGAACTTTGTTGTGATTAAATGATAAATGATATCTCTTCTCAAAATTTATTTTACTATCAATTACTATCGAATATAAAAACAGGTTTGTCACTGAGAGGTTATATTGTGTTTATTGATAGAAAAGCCCCCCCTCCCAATAATAGCGTATGTATACAGCTGAAGTTAATTGAGAAAATGTTTTGTTGGAGAGATATAGATATGTACATATTTGAAAACATTCAGATTTGTAGTAAATGAGACACCTGCATTGCCATGTAAGATACGATTAATACCAATCAGTGTTCTAATTTTAGCAATACTTTCTTAAGATTGTAACAGGAAGTAATGAAAAACATTCTCACATTCATGGCCACATTGACATGATGCGTCATTTTTTAAAAAGACTATTCTAAATAAATCGTAATTAAGTGCACTCGTCATATATCTTAATATTGTGTGCAAAACATATAACTTCTTTATTCCATATGAATAATATTTAGGTTCACATTTGTCTTTATTTGATTTATATGATACAACAGTGTCGCAATTTCTAATAGAGAAGCTAATGTTTTCAATATGATGATGCCGACTCCCGTTAGACTAGAAATGTTTATGAAAATAGATTGTTCAAATTACTTTTCATCCATCTTTCAAAATAAATAATATAGCTTCAGTTTGTTCCTGTGTTTTTATTTGGACTATTCCAATATAATGTGCAGGTAACAGGTAGTAGATAATCTGTTCACTGAACCGTAAATGTTGTTGTTTTAAGGTGTCTGCGAACTGGCTGTCTGCGTAATGGGAGGACACCTGCACTATTTATCCAATGTCAACCTCGGTCGTGCTGTTGTTTAGGTGTAAGGATTAATTGATCTACAGGTTCATTACATCAAGCCGTGATACATCTGTAGTCTTTTCAAGACAAAGAATATTTTTACTGAACTAAAAAGCCAGGATATCAAACCCGCATCTCACGTCACATTATTGGCTTTGGCATAAACACCATCAGTGAATTGGATTTTTACAGGGAACCGATTGATATAAGCCGATATCCACCTTACAGTGCCACTGGTGAATTAACGATTTCTTCCTGTAGACGCAGTTGTCTGTTTTTATATCACTTCACATGCAGAATCAAGGTAACATCCTGAGCTCTTGGGCGCCTTATCAAGATATGGTTCGTGGTTGCATTTTTGTCAAGTTCACTTTAACTGTTATCGCTTTTTCAGTAAATATGAGTATTGATACAACAGTGAGTATTGGACGATGCTTCATGTTCATGATACGCTGCTTGTATCCTGCTGAATACAATGTATGAAGAAGATCATCTATTTATCTATTTATTTCACATTATAAAGACATTCGGTACAGCTCCTTATAACGTTGTCAAGGAAGACATGATACGCCAACCCAGCAACTGACTCAATTTCCTTTTGTTTGATAGGCATTTCGTGCTTGAATATCTTGTAAGGGTCTATATTTGAAAGTAGTCGTGAGATAGTAGTAAAGTACATGTCATCCATACGTGTATCTTCTCTGTCATGTCCATTAAATACCTCTTTATGCTGATCGCGTGCTGGATGTTAAGATGGGCACATAAATTGCGTTCGTAAGGATAAGAGAAAGTGAGTACGAAAACAATGAAAAGTGAAAGTTGCATGAAAGTTGAACAACATACAAGCTGATGATCACACGATTGTCTGGTCCAGACTCGATTATTTACAGACCGCCGCCACATAGCTGGAATATTGCTGAGTGTAGGCTGAGTGAATGAGTAAGTTTAGTTATACGATGATTTTAGCAATATTCCAGGAATGTCACTGCGGGGGACACAAGAAATGGGCTTCACACATTGTACCAATGTGGGGCAAACAAACATATATAGCGGATTTACAATTTATACACCCTCATAAATTACAGAAACCGTAAATTTCCATTTTCATAAAAAATTCGAAAGCGTCAATAGTACGACTCAGACTGTATGTTCATGAATCCTGATGTAAATTCGCTAAAAGTTAAGGGAGCGGTGGTTAAAAGCGTTCGCTCGTCACGCTGAAGACCCGGGTTCGATTCCCCACTTGAACACAATGTGTGAAGCTCATTTCTGGTGTCCCGCGCCATGATATTGCTGGAATATTGCTAAAAGCGGCGTAAAACCATACTCACTCACTCACTCTAAAGTTGAGTGTGTCTTACCGATGACACACGTAACAAACACACGCAAAGGCAAGTCAATTGTCTCCAAAATACAGCATATGTTTGATCTTTTGGAATGGAATTCAAGCTATCCCCTGGAACTGACATGGGTTGTTTCAGTAGGCCAATAAACCAGCATTTAGTTTTCATATTAGTATTAACCATATTATGGTGAATGTTTATGGCAGTTTTAACTGTCCAGATGAAATGAGAGACGGTTTGATAGCTCAGTGGTTAACTCGTTCGATCGTCACGCCGGGCTCGATTCCCCACTGGGGTACACATTTGTGGCGTAGCCTGGACACTGCTGGAGTGAGAGAGTGAGTGAGTGAGTGAGTGAGTGAGTAGCCGAAAACCATATTCACACCACATCGGAAATGGACATACAAATAAAGGGTTTAGAAACATAAATCATTTCAATGATTTATAAAAATTATTTACACCGACATGTAGGATATTTTGCTCATCAGTAAATGAAAAATATATAACATGCTCAGCTTTGGTTGGCTTGTGAATGATAAACGTGCAGTGTACTTTCGCCACTAATGATGATCAACTGAATACCTATATTAACTTTACCAGGGGTCTATGAAGCCCGTAGAATGTGACAAGCAGGGGATTCTAAGGTTTGCTTGGTGATACGCAGGGATGCCGGGGACATAGTAAGCCAACAGAGAGTAACAAGTAACAAGCAGGGGAGGCTGGGGATCTAGGCAGCCCACTGAGAGTGATACGCAGGGATGCCAGGGTCCTAGTGAGCCCACAGAGTGTGATACGCCTGGATGCCAGGGACCTAGTAAGCCCACAGAGTGCGATACGCAGGGATGCCAGGGAACTAGTAAGCCCACAGAGCGTAACAAGTAAAAAGTAGGGGAGGCTGGGGATCTAGGCAGCCCACAGAGAGTGATACGCAAGGATGCCAGGGTCCTAGTGAGCCCACAGAGTGTGATACGCCTGAATGCCAGTTATCTAATAAGCCCACAGAGTGCAAAAAGCAGGGATGCCAGGGACCTAGTAAGCCCACAGAGTGGGATACGCAGGGATGCAAGGGTCCTAGTAAGCCAGCAGAGGGTGATACGAAAGGGTGCCAGGGACCTAGTAAGTCCACAGAAGCGTGATACGCAGGGATGCCAGGACCCTAGTAAGCCCACAGAGCGTGATACGAAGGGATGCCAGGTTCCTAGTAAGCCCACAGAGCGTGACAGTCAGGGGAGGCTGGGGATCTGTAAGCCCACAGAGCGTGATACGCTGGGAAGCCAGGTTCCTAGTAAGTCCACAGTGTGTAATACGCAGGAATGCCAGTGATCTAATAATCCCACAGAGAGTGGAAAGCAGGGTAGGGTGGGGACCTAGTAAGCCAACAGAGTGTGATACGCAGGGATGCTAGGGACCTAGTAAACCAAAAAGGGTGATACGCAGGGATGCCAGGGTCCTAGTAAGCCCAAAGAGTTTGATACGCTGGGGATGCTGGGGATATAATAAGCCCACATAGCGTGATACGAAAGGATGCAAGGGTCCTAGTAAGCCAAACAGAGGGTGATACGAAAGGATGTCAGGGTCTTAATAAGCCCACAGAGTGTGATACGAAGGGATGCCAGGGCCCTAGTAAGCCCACAGAGTGTGATATGCAGAGATGCCAGGGACGTAGTGAGCCCACAGTAGTTGATACTATGGGATGCTAGGGTCCTAGTAAGCCCACAGAGTGCGATACGCAGGGATGCCAGGGTCCTAGTAAGCCCACAGAGCGTGATACAGAGGGAAGCCAGGCTCCTAGTAAGCCTACAGAGCGTGATACGCAGGGATGCCAGGGTCTTAGTCAGCCCACAGAGTGTGATACGAAAGGATGCCAGGGTCTTAGTCAGCCCACAGAGTGTGATATGCAGAGATGCCAGGGACGTAGTGAGCCCACAGAAGTTGATACTATGGGATGCTAGGGTCCTAGTAAGCCCACAGAGAGCGATACGCAGGGATGCCAGGATCCTAATAAGCCCACAGAGCGTGATACGAAGGGAAGCCAGGCTCCTAGTAAGCCTACAGAGCGTGATACGCAGGGATGCCAGGGTCCTAATATGCCCAAAGAGCGTGATACGAAGGGATGCCACGGTTCTAGTAAGCCCACAGAGTGTGATACGCAGGGCTGTCAGGTTCCAAGTAAGCCCACAGAGCGTGATGCGCAGGGATGCCAGGTTCCTAGTAAGCCGACAGAGCGTGACATTCAGGGGAGGCTGGGGATCTAGTAACCCCACAGAGTGTAATACGCAGGGATGCCAGGATCCTTGTAAGCCCACAGAGCGTGATACGCGGGGATGCCAGTGATCTAATAAGCCCACAGAGTGTGGAAAGCAGGGTAGGGTGGGGACCTAGTAAGCCAACTGAGTGTGATACGCAGGGATGCCAGGGACCTAGTAAGCCCACAAAGGGTGATATGCAGGGATGCCAGGGTCCTAGTAAGCCTTCAGAGTTTGATACGCTGGGGATGCTGGGGATATAGTAAGCCGACAGAGTGTGATACTCAGGGATGCCAGGGACCTAGTAAACCAACAAAGCGAGATACGCAGGGATGCCAGGGTCCTAGTAAGCCCTAAGAGCGTGACAAGCAGGGGAGGTTGGGGATCTAGTAAGCCCACAAAGTGTGACAAGCAGGGTAGGCTGGGTACTTATTAAGCCAGCAGTATGTGATACGCAGGGTTGCCGGGGTCCTAGTAAGCCCACAGAGTGTGATACGCAGGGATGCCAGAGTCCTAGTAATCCCACAGAGCGAGATACGCGGGGGAGGCTGGGGATCTAGTAAGCCCACAGAGTGTGATACGCAGTGATGCCAGGGACCTAGTAAGCCCACAGAGTGTGATACGCAGGGATGCCAGGGTCCTCGTGAGCCCACAGAGCGTGATGCGCAGGGATGCCGGGGATCAAGTAAGCCCAGAGAGTGAGATACGCAGGGATGCCAGGGACCTAGTAAGCCCACAGAGCGTGATACGCAGGGATGCCAAGGATCTAGTAAGCCCACAGAGTGTGATATGCAGGGATGCCAGGGACCTAGTAAGCCCACAGAGCGTGACAAGCAGGGGTCTGGGGATCTAGTAAGCCCACAGAGTGGGATACGCAGGGATGCCAGGATCCTAGTAAGCCCACAGAGCGTGACATGCATGGGGGGCTTGGGATCTAGTAAGCCAACAGAGTGGGATACGCAGGGATGCCAGGGACCTAGTAAGCCCACAGAGCGTGATACGCAGGGATTCCAGGGTCCTATTGAGCCAACAGAGCGTGATACGCTGGGGTGGCTTGGGATGTAGTGAGCTGACAGAGTGTGATACGCAGGGATGCCAGGGACCCAGTAATCCCATAGAGCGAGATACGCGGGGATGCCAGGGTCCTAGAAAGCCCTAAGAGCGTTACAACCAGAGGAGGCTGGGCATCTAGTAAGCCCACAGAGCGTGATATGCACGGATGCTAGGGATCTAGTAAGCCCACAGAGCGTTATAAGCAGTGATGCCAGGGTCCTAGTAAGCGCACAGAGCGTGATACGGAGGGATGCCAGGGATCAAGTAAGCGAACAGAGTGTGATGCGCAGGGATGCCAGGGATCTAGTAAGCCCACAGAGCGTGATACGTAGGGATGCCAGGGATCTAGTAAGCTGACAGAGTGTGATATGCAGGGATGCCGGGTACGTAGTAGCCCGCAGAGTGTGATACGGAGGGGTGCCAGCGTCCTAGTAAGCCCACAGAGTGTGAGACGCAGGGATGCCAGGGTCCTAGTATGCCCGCAGAGTGTGATACGCCTTGATGCCAGGGATCTAGTAAGCCCACAGATTGTGACAAGCAGGGGAGGCTGGGGATCTAGTAAACCAACAGAGTGTGACAACCAGGGGAGGCTTGGTTTTTGTAAGCTTACGAAGTGTGAAGAAGTAGGGTTTTCTAGGTTTCTATCAAGTCGACATAAATATTATATCTTGCACTTCTTTAGCCCACAGCATGTGCCATGAACTGAAGATTTATTAAGACAAGATCAGTGGCAAGCATGCGGTGCCAGGGACCTGTTAAGCCTAGAGCATGAAAGACATAGCAGGGACCTATTAAGACTGTTAAGAGGTGATAGGAACCAAGTCCACATTGGTCACAGAATAGCAGGGACATGTTGGGAAATCAGGATTTATCAAACATGGAGAATCTGCGACTTAGGAGACTCACGAATATGTTTTCCCTTAGCACTCAGGTATGGAGTGCCATGGACTTTTCAACCCCTTAAATCCAGAGGATACGAGAAGCTGCATGATGTGGCTCAACTTACCAAAAATGAATGAACCGCTCGGGGCATTCACAGTAAAGCTGTCGACGCCAGGAACTGTATACCCAGCATCACTGAAGAGAATGTCAACATCCTTTTGGTTGCCACGACCAACTTTAAAATGTCCATCTTCCCAAGAGGTCCAAAACTCATCATAGCCAGTGCAGGTGAAGACCTTCCCAGAGACGTCTTCATACGTCCCAAATGCGAAGAATCGGCTTTTACCGTTGTGCCATCCTCCAAGTAGCATTCGGTACATCTCTTGGTCTCGGAAGTACAGTTTGATATTGAAGTCCTTGCACGCCATGACCCTGAACGTGATCCAGTCCTTTCCCCGAATATCAAAGCCAAAGATCATGGGGTTGACAAATTCCCATAACCCTTGTGTGGTGAACGTTATTGAGCCGACTGTAAGGAACATGACAGCATATGTGAGTCATCGTGAGATCTATGTAATTATGGTGTGTAGATTCAATACCCCAGACAATGGCGGGGTGCAACTGGGATTCGATGCGGATGTCAATATACTCTACTGGTTGGCTGGTTTGTTGCTTAACGCCGTACTCAAAAATGCTCTAGCTGTATGGCGGAAATCTGTAAATAATCGAGTCTGGACCGGACAATAGAGGAATCAACAGCATGAGCATTGATCTACGCAATTGGGATGCGATGACATATGTCAAACAAGTCAGTCGCCTCTTACGACAAGCATGGGTTACTGAAGATCAATTCTAACCCGGATGTGAGTGAGTTTAGTTTAACGCCGCTTTTAGCAATATTCCAGTAATATCACGGTTAAGTAACCAGAAATGGGCTTCATTCATCGTACCCATGGGTCGAATTGGCCCGAGTCTGGACCAGAGAATTCACCACTTGACACCATGGGCATGATCTAAGCAGTTGAAATACGATGACTTGAGTCAACCAAGTCAACGAACCTGACCACCCCGATCCCGTTAGTCACCTACCTCGAACAGGATGGGTCACTGAAGACCCCGGATTTTCACGATTTCGTTTAACATATATTATGATCTCATCGAAGTAAAACACGTAGAAACAAATCTACAGATTTAAAATGGTTTCATGAACAATAACCAAATACTGTATTTGGCTGTATTGTATTTTGCGTCATCTGCGCTGTATATACAGCATGATACATACCTGCCACGGAGAAATACATGAATACCATCAGCAACACCAGACACCGCATGTTGAACTGTTTGGTATCTGTAACAGATAGTGAGTGAGTGAGTGAGTATTGTTTTACGCCGCTTTTAGAAGTGTTCCAGCATTAATACGACGGGGACACCAGAAATGGGCTTCACACATGGTATCCATGTGGGGAATCGAACCCGGGCCATCGGCGTGACGAGTGAACGCTTTAACCACTGGGCTACCCCCACCGCCCGTGTAACAGATAGAGTATAAGAGTCATTCTCAAAAGATGCAGCTTTTTCCCGTATCAGGATTAAAACCTCAATAAAACCGTCAAATTTTATCAATGTGATAAAAATCTGTTTTTTCCTTCATTGCCAATATCTAATCTTACTTGGGAATTTTTTACTACAAAAAATAGGACCAAATAATTATTATTTTGTAATTTTTGTAACAAGAGACATGCATTTTTTCATGTATCTAGGTGAAAAAAACTAACATCATGTGTCTATTGTTCCCTAAATTTCATTTAATAACATATTTTTTCTGGAGTGGTTAAAAAGTATAGCCCTTTTGCCCATTCCTGGTAGATGTTCATGATTTTCAAGCTGAATTTTTAATATAAAAATCAAACCTTTTCTCTTGTATACAAGAAAAATGTCTTTACTGTAACAGTTTCATAAAATTATGAAATAATTAATTATCCCTCATCCTGTGAAAGTGGAACTTCCTGTCATGCTCTTTAACAACTTCTGGTTGAGAATCATCAACATGTGGTGTTGACTCCAAGAGAAAACTTTCAAGGAAAATCAAGTTGAAAAGGTAAGCATTTGCGAGTATTTTTCATAGGTGTCTTTCAGATAACATCAAGAAACAAAAACCTACCCAGTTTTCAAAAAATATGTTTTTCTCTTTGCATTTGAAACCATAATTATAACACAAGTATTTTGTCTGAAATGGCAAAGGGACTAGTCATTATTTTTTTTCTTAATTTACTTTTACAATTTGTCTTTCACGTAACAGTCTTTTCTGTAACAGCTTTTTTGTTATTGGAAAGACCATCAGTGTTACTTCAAAGAAACATCAGTATTGATTAGTCACATTTTCTTTTTATCTTAATGTCAATGTCATTAACAGTTGAATTTTGGGAATGAGCTAAGGTTTATATTTGCTGAGGCTGAAACAGGATTTACACTTCTTTGCCTGAATGCAGTCATTCTAAATTTTGTCAACAGTCGTTATTGGAAAGACAAATTCTGTAACTGCAAAGACAATTCAATACAAATTTGAAAATAAGTTATCTCTGGTAGGTCTTTGTTCATCTAGATTTGCTATGTGTCAATATTAGGACCTTTAAGATGATATTTTGGGTAACAATGCGTATTTCCCCTAACAATTTGTATGTTTCATGTCTTTCAAAATTAGCTGTTACTTAAAAGACTTAAGTTGTTACTGCAAAGACAGTTTAATACTAATGATCTTTCATTTATGTCTTTCTTTCCTGATTCATTCAGATGTGCATTAAATATATGAGATAAGATTACCTTACGCTCCACAAAGAAGTCTGTTCCTGAAACTTTGAATGCATTTATGCGTTTTCAAAGACTGTTATTTGAAAGACAGTGTGTGACTGTGACTATAATAAATATGACAGCTCGACGATCAGTCCGCAAAAACATCAAAGTGTTATCATCTAGTTACCTATATAAAGGTTAATGTGTCATAATCTGAAACAAACATTCAATGAAACATTCATTTCTGTATTTTTTTTTAGAACTGGCAATATGGGTATGAGTAATGCAGAAAGGCAGAGAAAATTTCGAGCTAACAGGGACAGAGATCTTGCACGAAGACAGGTTTATTTGGAAGAAGAGAGGAAACGTTATCAAAAGGACAAGGAAAAAGGATTGCGAAAATCAACAAAAGAACTCCCAGAGCGAGAGAGAAGACAGCTTAGGCGAAAATGGAAGAAGCAGAAGAGACTACTGCGAGCTAAACAAAAAACAATTAAGGAGATAATCACCCCACCAATGTCACCGATGTTACCAATGAATGTACAGGAATCAAGACAGAGAAGGCAAAGCCAGAAGAAGAACAATCGTGACAAGGCCCAGTGTTACAGAGACAACAAGGTTCTCAGGCTGGAACTGGAAAAAGCAACAAAGAGAGCTCTAATGTACAAACAACGATGGCAGAGAACAAAACTGGACATAGCAAATAAGGAAACTCCCAGAAGTAAAACAAAAAAACTCATAAGAAACATTTCAAGTAAAACGGCCAAACGGACATTGCTTTTTCAAACAACTCTTATTGAACAAATGAGCCAATGGTACAGGAAGAAATCAAGGAAAAACAAAAAAGACATTGCTTCCATGATTTCAAGTGGTGCAGTATTGAGAAAATACAGATTTCTAAGCCATGCTTGCTTCACATTTGGTGTCAAAGCTAGAAGATCATCAAAAGCTAGTCATCACACATATCTGTCTTTGAGGGAATGCCACAAGATCCAGTCTTTCTTTGAAAGAGATGACAACTCTAGGATCATGACAGGAACCAAACAGACAGTAACATGCAAGAGAGAAAAGAAGCAAAGAAGGATTCTAAAGGACAGCTTGAGAAACATATATCTCAAATACATCTCTCAGACAGATGTCAGGATTGGATTCTCAACTTTCTGTCGACTGCGACCTTTTTGGGTAGTGTTTCCAAAACCAAGTGACAGGAATACATGCCTTTGCAAACTTTGTGAAAATACACAATTCATTGCCACCTCACTGAAGAAGTCGGAAGCAATTCAATACGATGATCTTCATCTCATTATCAGAGACATGGTCTGTGATGAGACATCACACGACTGCATGTATGGCCAGTGTCAGAAATGTAAAGAACAAAGAGTACAGTATAATAAGAAGAACAAAGATGACACCGTCCAGTGGTTTGAGTGGACGACAAAGAAGGTGAAAAGGATGATTAAACAAAATCAGAAAATCGTAGAAAAAGAAATCCTTCTCACGGTTAAAGATGTCCATAATGGTTTGATATGTGACCTTGTTCAACAGTTTGAGAAGGACCTAGACCGGTATAAGAAACACTGTTTTAACATCAGGCATCAGTTCATGTACTTCAAGGAACGAAAGGAGAATCTGCATGAAAACGAATGTGTTATTCACATAGATTTTTCAGAAAACTATGTTTGTAAACTTGGAAGTGAAATTCAAAGCATGCACTTTGGCGCTTCTAAAAAGCAGCTTTCATTGCACACAGGAGTGTACTTTTGCAAAAATGAAAATGGTCCACAGACCTTTTGCACAGTTTCAGAAAACCTTGACCACAGTCCTGGATCTATTTGGGCACATCTCAAGCCTATTTTGCGACAGGTTGAACAAAATCATCCAAATGTTGACACTCTTCATAAACTCTGTCAAAAAAGAAACGCAACCCCTGTCCTCAGATATGAAAAATTCGTTTGAATGAAGTTATTGCTTCCAAACTAAATGTTATTCGAATGTATTGAAATTATACACGTAATTAATGAAGATTACCATCCAAATAACTGCATTTGTACGCATAAGTGTATTTTATTGCTTATTCCGTCACAACGCATGAAATGACCCTCATGGTGACTTCGCACAAAAAAAACACATGCAAATCATGAAAATGGCAGTTAATGTAGGGGTGTATAAAAGCCCATGTGCTTTCGTATTATATTCATTCATTTGTCGCATGAAAGCTGTGTGAAAAATGCCGCGATTGAGTGCTGCCGACCGAAATATCGCCATTGGTCGTGTTCAAGCCGGAGAAAGTTTGGAACTGTTGCACGGCACCTAAATGTTCACAAAACAACGATATCCCGACTTTGGAGCCGCTACAACAACTTCAATTTGACCAACGATCGCCCGAGAAGTGGAAGGCCAAGAATCACGACCCCCTTCAAGATCGGTACATCCGGGTCCATCACCTGCGTAATCGGCATGCCCTACCAACCGTGACTGCCACACAAATACCAGGTTTGAGGAGAGTGTCAGCTCAAACGATTAGGAACCGTCTGAAAGAAGCGGGTTTACGTGCCTGTAGACCAGTTGTTGGACCTGTACTACGCCCCTACATCTCCGCCGACGACTCAGGTGGTGCATCAACGTAAGGATATGGACTTTACAAAACTGGAGGCGCATCTGGTTTTCTGATGAATCCCGTTTTCTTTTTGCAACATCACGACGGAAGAAAACGTGTGTATAGGAGACGTCATGAACGTTTTGCGCCCATCTGCGTCCGACAGGGGACAGATTTGGCGGAGAAAGCGTTATGGTTTGAGGGATCCATCTCATACAACCAGAAATCAGACTTGGTGATCGTTGAAGGGAACCTGACAGGTAACGTTACATCAACCACGTATTACAGCCTCACCTTCTCCCGATTATTGACCAACAGACACAGATTTTCAACCAGACAACGCCCGGCCTCATACTGCACGTGCAACAATGAACTTTCTGCAGAATTCCAACGTCAATGTCTTGCCATAGCCCTCTAAATCACCAGACCTCAACCCTATTGAACACCTGTAGGATACTCTGGGTCGACGCGTACGTCAACGTCAGCCGCCGCCACAGACGCTGCAACAGCTCGGCGTTGCACTGCAGGGAGTGGAGAGCCATTCCCCAGGAAAGAATCCGGCGTCTTATCCGTTCTTGTCCAAGGAGATGCCGTGCAGTGATTGCAGCTCGTGGTGCTCATACGAGATACTGAGAAAGACGCCCCCCTGGTGACAAACTGGTGTCTGTGAGATGACTTTTGAAATGACAATTTTAAACATGCCCATCTTGGTTATTATTCTGCCAAATTTCAGACTTCTGTCTTAAATAATAAAAATGCTGTGTCGTCTTAAAACTTCAGATCAAAATCTCTAAAATACAGGGGTTGCGTTTCTTTTTTGACAGAGTTTATTTTCAGTGATGGACCAACAACCCAGTATAGACAAAAAGGAAATTTCTTGCTTCTTTCCCAGAAACCAGCTCAATTTGGATTCACATCTGCTGTTTGGAACTTTTTCGAATCAGGCCACGGCAAAGGCACACCAGATGCAGTTGGAGGTGCAATCAAGAGAAAAGCAGACGCAAAGGTGAAATATGGAATGGACATACAATCGGCAAAAGATTTTGTTGATGCAACCAAGGAAAGTGACATACGTGTCGTGATCATACCTGAGGAGGAGATTGTCCAGGGATTGCAGGAAATGACTCAAATGAATCCAAAACCAATTAAAGGCACCCTAAAGCTCCACCAGGTATGCTGGCTTGGCTCCCATGAAGTTCTGTTCCATAGGAACCACAGCTGCATCTGCCAAGCACCCAATGAGTGTTCTAATCATAAGCTCTCAAAACATTTCACTCAGTCCATTTCAGAAAATACTCTTGATCTCAAGCAGAGCATCTTCGATGAATATCTGGGGAATCTTAAAAACTGTAAAAGTTTCACAGAACTTAAAGAAGAATGCAAAGCAATTGCAGGAACAATGAATGACATTGAAATACAGAGAAATATTACTCTGCCATACAAAGATCTCAAGGTTGACATACCCTCTGTGAAGATATTGCCAGATGACTTGGATGATGTGAGGGAGCTGTATCCTTGCAGTGTAAAAGCAGATGGAAATTGCTTGCCCTCAGTTGGGAGCGTCTATGCCTATGGAACAATTGACCGGACATCTGAGATGCGAGTACGTATTGTAACAGAACTTGCCCTGAACGAAGATCTTTATCTTGACAGAAACTTCCTGCAAAACGGCAGATGTCCAGCAAATGCAAAGAATTGGCCTAAAATCTATGCCCAATACTCGGATTTGTTCATTCATGGAACTCGGCTCACAGATGACATTGTCAGGGATATATTAAGGCTTGAAATTCTGAAGATAAGCGTCAACTATGCCTTTATGGGTATATGGCAGATTCATGCCTTAGCAAGTGTGCTCAAATGTCCACTTTACTCAGTATATCCAAAACTTGGAGCTCCATGTGTTCGCAAAGATCTTCAGCGTGTAATCATGCCAAGGCAATTAGCAACAACAAATACACTGCCTCTTTATGTACTTTGGACAAGCACCAGAAATGACATGCCAAATACTCATTGGATACCAAACCACTTTGTGGCAGTGCTGGCTAAGAACGATGCTTATTTTAGCATGACCAGCAAAGTTCCATTGGAGTCTACTTGCCCTGAATCGTCAGAGCCCAGCACCAAAGCAGTGGAGCCCAGCACTGAAGAAGTAGAGCTTAGCACTGAGACAATGAAGCCCAGGCCTGACACAGATGAGCATGGGAATGCAACTGGATTTGACTACTTAGACCAGCATGTCATTGTGTCTTATGATGATAAGCCATATCCTGGTTTTTGTGGAAGATGCAAATGAAGATGAGGTTTTTGTGTCATGTATGCAAAAGATTGGTAGGGAAGGCAATAGATTTTCCTGGCCTAAAAAGCTGATGGATAAATGCTGGTATGAGCTGGAGAAAGTTCTTACTAAAATTCCACCGCCTACTCCCATTGAGAACTCATCACACTTCAAGGTTAACCCTGCCATTTGGACGAAAATCACAGCCTGAATGAAGTACCCTGTACCCTGTACTTTTGTTAGTTGCAAACCTGTTTGACAGTTTGTTAAATACATGTTAAATTTTAAAAAATGTTGTTAACTTCATGTTAAATGAGTTTCTGAGTTCTTAAAGAGCTAATTTCAAAATGGTAATTGCTACTTTTATATTGTTGTGTATTCAAAGCACAATGTCAATAGTATAAACTGAATCAGAATGTAAATCTTTGTGTTCCATTTCAACTTGTTCTGAAATGTCTTTCCAGTAACACTGACATGTCTTTGAGGTAACAAGTAGGCTGAGTTCTTAAATACAGAATATATTTTGCACTTCAAGTATGGTAAAATAATACTTGTATAAATTAATTAATGTAAACCTATCTTATCATCAGTCACATACATCTGTGCTTGTCCTCACTCAAATATACTAATGAATTGTCTTCTCTGTAACACATTTGGGTCTTTCCTGTAACAAACATGTCATTGTTACTCACCTTATCTGGAGACATAAATATAACATGTAACACTTACTATACTTCTAAGGGTAACAGGCAAAAAACTCATCCTCTCATTACAGATAGATCAAAGATATTTGTTACAATTAATTATTTTTTCAAATTTAATTGATACATTGTCTTTCCAATAACATAGAGTGTCTTTGGGATAACGATACTGTCTTTCATATAACGGGACTAAAAAGTAAATGTTTTATGATCTAAAGAGTAAGACATTGTCAGAAATCACTTGGAAATATTATAATGTTCTCTTCAAATCATCTTCAGTATAATAATATTTGAGGGGAGACCGTTGAAAGGAATCAAGAGTATTGGAAAGTACTAACAAATTTCACTTTTTCAACTGACACAGTGTAGAACAGGTTTATTTCATAAAAATACAATTTTAGAACTGATTTCATAAGTGTGAGTAACAAAATAACACGTGAGGAAGACTTTACAATACAATATCTTTACATATCAATGTATATTTAAGAAAAATATGGCTATTACTGTTGTTACAGGAAAGACATTGTGTCTTCGTCCTAATTAGTTTAATTACTCTTCATTAAAATAGTGGACATAATTAAGCCTCAAATACTATCGATAAGTGAACCTGAACATTGTAGCTTACAATTTGTGAAAATAAAGATTGGTGATTTTGCATTTCAATTATGTTGTATTTTGTGCACCAAATAGCTGCAACTTTTGAGAATGACTCATAAATGATTTAAGGTTTCCAGTTGTATTTGTTGACGTTTATCTCGAAATGAACGACGGTATTAGTGTTCACTTTGTCTCCGTACTCAGCAAAATTTCAACTTTATGAAGGCGTCCAGTGATTGACGATCCCGTTAGTCGCTTCTTACCACAAGCATGGGTTGCTGAAGATCAATTCTAACCCGGATCTTCACGGGTCCCATACTGTGTGCCGTAACGACCTAAACCAAAGATCGTAACTGCGTCCAATGTTATTCAAAACCATGGGTGAAACTATTTCATAACATATTTGAGTTTGAGTTTAGTTTTACGCAGTTTTCTCGCCTTTCTTAGGCACTAGCGTTCTGATTTAATTCTTGCACAACGTTTTTCTCTTCCGTTATTTGATTCCTAAATGTAAAATACAATACAGAGACACCTACAGTGTCTGCTCGTGCGATGTAACCCAAGTTGATTAAGTTCAATGTCTGACGTCAACTAAGCATTGATATTTCTCGCGAATTCAATACTTGAATCTGATCTAAAACGAATCTATTGATTATCTATTAGATACAACACATGATATCTTGATTACCGCTGTTAAGTGACATTTAGGTGAATAAATAGAATATTGCCGTCGTGCCGTTTAATGGCAAATACATCAACACGCATCACTGAAACAAGAAAATATATTTGCAGCGACTAATATTAATTTTGTATAGCGTCAGTATCCAGCTTAGCTGCTCAAAAGCTCTCTGCTTTTCCCTCCATCATTGGAGCTTACAACTCTTGCAGCCATTAGGCGCACCGAGTTAATGTGGCTTTCCCGTCCTTACGAGGTACCCATTCCCAGCTGGGTGGACTGGGGCACATAGTCATACCTTATCCCAAGTTTACTGTACGTTACTTGACCCGCAACTAGGTGTTTGCACGTATTCATGTGGCCACCATCTGGTCTTTTCCCAACGGATTCGTGGGCTCTTTTTAGTGCACAGGGTGGTGTACTGTACACTTGGGGTTGTGACAACACTGAAAGAGTCTGCACACAAAGTTGACTCCAAGGTTTTTACACCCGGTCACAGGCGGGCACGATCCCGACACCTCAAGCTCGCTGGATCAGTAGCGTGGCGCCTTAGACAGCTCGCCCACCACGCCCCACTTGAATCGGGTAGGGGTAGGTACTGTCAGTTCGCTGACATTACTTCCTCATCTAGGAAAGAAAACGATCTGGGTTTTTTTACATTTTGTAACATGCTGATTTTGTTTCAATCATTCTGTTCAGATTGAAATGATTTGGAAACAAGTTATAAAATTTGTGTATGCAAGCAGCCGAGCATATCAATCTTCAATAAATTTTCTGCTAAACCAACAAAGTATATAAAAAAAACCCATTTGATCCCTTTGGTCGTTTGTGGTCAATAGCCTAGTTTTAATTCCTTTTAAATAATTTTCTGAGAAAGTAATATTTCTGATATTAAATTAGTAAGTTTTATTGCCTATGCGATCCACTAAGGCTGCTCTATATGCTTGTATTGTCAGCAGTGTTGGTAGTAATATGAGCAGAGAATAGAATTTTATCATTCACTATTTCAATCACTATTACAGAGCCCTCATAATAATTGTAATCTACATAAATTACCGGACAAAGAAAGCTATCACCGACTTGATTTACCAAAAATAGAAACAAAGACGTCTGTGAGATTTAGGATAATTATTTCACAAACTGAAATCATTTCCAATAAATTGACAGAAACTTCACTGTGATGCTGGTCTTGCATTAAGAAACCGTCAAAGGGTCACAATCAGAGTTCAATAAAAAAGTGCATAAAGATACACATAATGAGACAGGAGTCTGGTGACACGACGTCAATAGCGAGTTTGACCACACTGGGCATCCACACACGCCAACACACGTCTCCTCATTCACGTCGTCAGCGATGGTAATGAGTTAACATATTGTTTTGCTTTTGAGGAAACAATACTTGACTCTTTCTTACAGGACAAATTACTGTTTATTATTTTTTCCGCCAGATTTGACAGAGTTAGAGTTGACAATTTTGGTATCACCAACTATTCATTTAAGTATTTCTCGTCTAAGGTCGCAAGTACGCTGCAGTTCAAAGGTGGCTTGTAGACCAGAAAATCAAATGATGGTTGGAGCAGAAAATCCACAGCTATGGCTTGTTTGTTTGTACCAAATAAAATGTGCTAGAATATCACACAAAATCAATTAGACACTTGACCAAAGTCCAAACACTCTGTATCTCACGGCACCGATAAATGAACGAATAAAGTGTAATACCAGTGTCTAATTTTTACCGAGAAGTGTCAGCTTCGTGTAAGGATATTAACATCTCAGTTATCTCTCATTCTCGATTACCTATTGGATGATCGAGTGAGTGAGTATGGTTTTACGCCTCCTTTAGCAATATTCCAGCAATGTCATGGCGGGGGGACACCAGAAATGGACTTCACTCATTGTACCCATGTGGGGAATCGAACCCGTGTCATCGGCGTGAAGAGCGAACGCTTTAACCGCTCTCGCTGTAATAAAGAAATTGTTCATCCGTATATTGTTATCCTTGCTAAAACTTCTAAATACCCCTCAAAGAAGTAAAACGGACTTACCTGATTGTGAGGCCACCCCGTAGAACTGTCGCGATCAACGGTAGGTTGTGTAACAGCTTCAAGGTAGCTGGTTCCTCTGAAAGGCGTCTTCAACACAGTCAGTTGTAATGTGCGCTCACATCCTCGCTGAGGTCTGATCGAACGGCCGCTATATTTGTTCGATCACAGACAATGAAGTAGAAAGGCATACAAGCGGTGCTGTGGTGTATAGCTCTCAGTGTAGCTGAACATGTAAAACACAAAAAACAACCAACTAAAAAACATATATAAATATATAGCAATGTAAATGTTGTCGTGAGATGAATGAATTGAATTTTACAAACACATTGTAATATATAGCGCTTATGCAATGTAATATAGAGAAAGAATTCAGTGTACTAAACAGGAAGAATTCATTGTAATACATAGCACTGATGCAATATAATATAAAGTAATATTTTAGAGTAATACATAGCTCTAATGAAATGTAATATATATGAATTATTCAATGAAATACATATCACTTATTCAATGCAATGCAATGCATAGCACTGAAGTAATATAATACAAAGCAAGATTTTAGTGTAATAACACTTATTCAAAGTAATTGCACTTATTCAATATGATACATAGATCTAATTCAGTGTGTAATACATAACACTAATTCAATGTAATATATAGCACGAATTCAATGTATTACATAGCATTAATGTAATGTATTAACATAGCAATTATTCAAAGTATCACATAGCACTAATTCAATGTATACACAGCAATTATTCAATGTAATTCATAGCACTAATTCAGTGTAATACATATGAATTATTCAATGAAATACCTAGCACTGATTCAGTGTAATAATTAGCACGAATTCAGTGTAATACATAGCATTAGTTTAATGTAATACATGGTACTGATTCAGTGTAAAATATTGCACGAATTCAACGTAATACATAGCACGGATTTAAGGTGATATATATAGCGCTAACTGAATGTAATGTATAGCACGAATTCAATGTAATACATAGCACTAGTTCAATGAAATACATAGTACTGATTCAGTGTAAAAATATTGCACGAATTCAACGTAATACATAGCACGGATTTTAAGGTGATATATATAGCGCTAATTCAATGTAATACATAGCTCGAATCCACTGTAGTATATGACACAATGTAATATATTGTGTTATATTTTGATATACCTATGGACAAAGCGTAGGCCAACGGAGCCCCATAATGTGTTTTCCTATTAAGATTTGCAGCTACATCTCAACGCAAGTCATTATTTGATATACACTCTAAAACCACTCCTTTTTCACAAAGCATTTATAAAATATTTTCACTGATTTATGCTTAACACTAAAAATATTCCGGGTATACTGGCTAAGCAAAGTCAAACATTCTTCACGAGGAAATCTATGATCCATGTGTTCATTACTATGTATTTTTAACTCTTGCAGATGACATCGTTCGATAGTTATTGACCAGTATTGGCTGCTTTTACAGTATGCATCGGTGGATTTGATTGGAAACCGACTGGAATCGGATATAGGAATGCCATTGCAACAGGGATACATGCGTTGATGGAGACGTACGATCGTGGACGGGGACTAGAGTAGTGATTATGTCATGTACACCTATGCCATTGATCACCATTGGTTATCCATTAACTTTATGTTTGCCCCGAGCAGGTTGCCAGTGTATTAAATCTCGCTTTACTATGTTTTTGTGAAATATACGGAGGTTTAACCAGATAATGGGTAAGTGAGTGTGTATAATTTAAGTCACGTCGGCAATATTTCTGCCATATTGTGACTTGATCAACTTAAATACTTGTACGGTTGTACGATCATTTTTAAAACTGTCATCGATGGTCAGAAAAACAACAAGCCATATATCAAATATTTGTCTGGTATTGCTCTCAATTGTAGTAAATGTTTTAATGCTTACATTCCACTGTTAAATTTCTATCTGCGCTAACTTGGATTTATTTTATTGTGCTTCATTGACAGATTTTATGAATCTTAATTATTAAAAGTATGTATTGTTTTAGCTGAATGTTGCCGATTTGACTCTAAATCTTAACTCACTCTCACCTTTCTTAAGGAGGCAGTATACCTATGGGCGGGGAGGTATAGAACAGTAAAACTGGTGGTATGGCACCAATACATAAAAATGGGGCTAGCTGAGAGGACACCAGAACACAGGTAAGGACACAATAAGAGGGACCATGGGGACATATGGAGCCTCTGCTACTTGCACCTTTCACTAGTTACTGGTTATTGTCGAAGGTTTAAGCGGAGAATTAGAGTAAACCGTTACTCAGCACTTTAAAATT